CACCTTGATGAAGTCTATTCACCAAGTCCACTTGTACATACTATACTACACATTTATTTGGAAGTTTCACCAATGCCATCTTCATACTATAGACTCATCTTAATTATATATATTTATTATTCGTAGTATTACAAGGTTCACCCATGCAATACCGTACGTATCATAGGTTTGTTTACAACTTTCATTAAGTCCTATAATATTCATGTTTTACTTACTGCCATCTCTTGTCCATGGAGCAGTCAATACTGCAGCCACAACATCAGGCTAAGGACTTACATTTGGTGCTCCAAGGTTGCCACGCAGGCTTCTTACGATGACTACGCATGTAACACAAAGGAATGGGTTGATCAGACCCACACTAAGGAATCACATATGCAGTAATCGATAAGAATCTACATACAACTATGCAACACACAACACAACTATATATACATTATCAGAGTTCCCTAACAAAACTGCTCTGATACCATAAAATGTAACAGCCCGTTACGTACCGGTATTGTTAACATTAATTATGATATTAAGCGCAGTTACAATCACAGCAGTTCATTTATAAAAACGAGAATAAATTTTTTTCGACTATTACGCGAGCATTTAAATCATAAAAAGGCGTAATAATTAATAGCTGTGACCGTAACCGTAAACTCTTGCGGAAGACTTATTTAAACTATTTTTATCACTTACGTTACTTATTATAAGTTACTAAGGAGTTCCCATAAACTCACTTAGCCAATTTCCAACTTTACGTTTTATACCAATTCGAATATGTTACACTCTAAGTTTTTCTGCGACCAAACTGATCGCAACCAACCCTACTTCTCAGATTATACCTTTGTGTTACTTAATTCCCTTTTTAACAAGCTAAAATACGCTCAATTCGGAGCTCATTTGCTCCGGTTAACGCCGTTTGAAGTTGGATAAGCGATTAGCCCAAACAACCCCAAAAACAGCTCCAAACCACTCACATTGCTCGAATTACTGCACTCAATCCACTCAACCATTTGCCCTCAAATTTTTATCCTACAAACTAGGCATCTCAAACTTCATTTTGATATATCACACGCTCAATTTGACTGAGAAACGAAGCGGGAATTAATTTCCCAAATCCGGTCCAGAATCTGCCTCAGGTGCAGGGGCACATGGGCAGTCCGTGTTTCTCTATTTTTTTCAGGCCGAAGATCAACCCAGATTTTCCTCAAATTTGGACACAAGGTAGAGGACATCTCAACCTTCAAAATGGCGTATGGCACGTCCCTAGGGGACTTCTATGGAGGGAGATATGCTCTCCCGAAGTTTGCCTAAAATCTGCCAATTCTACAGAAAATTCGCCAGAGTTTCCTTTGTTTTTCCAATAATCCCAAATTTGTAAAAGGTCATTTAAACCTCAAATGTACCTAATAAACACATGATAATACAGTAATAATCCAATGGGTGGCACACACAAGGACCAACAACGCCTTGGGGCACTTACAACCCAATCCAGTTTATAGTTATTAAACATAGAGTCCATATTAATCATTCTTAAGTAGTTGCAATCACTAACACCTTTTTCATGCATATTTCCATCATACATATTATCATAACCTAAAATAGGCCTAAGGCCCTTCCATCATAATTAGACATGCATCAATACTATTACAATATGGCTTTACAAATTACAACTTGAAACTAAAACTTCAAATTACATTCTTCTACAATTTCAACTTAATTTAAAAGACAACATAACCAAATACATCACTACTAGACTTAGGCAAAATGGCATGAACAAGATGCTAATGAAGCTACTAATAAATACAAATGACATGTTCATGCCCTAAGTCTAGCCTAGGCCACACGGCCAACAAAATGCAAAATAAGAAACGCTCCATCGCTCACTCTGCGGGCCTCTTGCCCGAGGCTCCTGCTCCACTGCTACCTCCTGAAATAAATGCCCCGAGACGGGGTGAGATATACGAATATATCTCAGTAACCAAGAGGTTCTGGAGAAAACTCCACCCAATGGTTCACTTCGATGCATATCAATAGAATACAACAACCACTTTGAAAACGGGATATAGCAAGGGATTTAGAGAATGGGGAATATAAAGAAAACAAAATACGACGATACGGGATGGTAACCCCAATTCCACGTACGCCCTCGGCATATATAAGCCTATGGGTATCATCCAAGGTGTGTTCACAGAAACCACAACCATGATGCCCAAACCAACCAAAACGCCAAAGACATTCCTAGTGTGCTCCTACCCGGATCACACACCATGACCGCAGTCAACTGGAACTCCCTCCTGGAGACCTATCCAGCGGAAGTCCGAAAATGCCCGAAGGCTAATAAAACTGTCTACTGGCCAGAGACTCGGTACCTAAGTACCCATAGCAATAATGCATGCATGCTCATGTGTTCTATACTATTCATACACACTTCCTACCGTTGCCATCAACTGGCAAGGTGGAACAGAAAAGGGGAACAAGCCCCAGTACCAAGAGGTTACCTTAAATCGTGTTTCCACAAGCTCCGCAGCAGCTTATCCCTCAACTCGGTACACAGCGGAATGCCTACACAGAGGACATTCCCAATCACTCTCAGTTCAACCAATACATGTTAATTTATAATTATACATGCATTGAACCAATTACTTACCTCAATCCACTTGGTCCAAGACCAATGGCAACTCACTGAATCAAGATTCGGGATTCAAGTCGATGTACGGCAACCTATAAAATCACATACAACCATCAGCACGCGTCAAATAACGTCAAAACGTCAAAATCACAAAATCTCCCCATCCACCCTTGATGGTTCGGCCAAATGAGTGTTAATTTGAGATTTATTTTTCTAAATTTTCTTTCCCATTTTATTATGCCTCATTAAGTTGTCAAGAGGCCAATTCAAGTGCCGTTTCGTCATTTTCGCGTCAAATTACATCAGAACGCGAAAACCGCAAAATCCCTCTTTCCTCCTTGAAGGTTCGGCCATCTATGTGTTATTTGGGGATTTATTTTTCTAAATTTTCTTTCTCATTTTAGTACCCATCCTTGGGTTGCCATAAGGCCATTTCAAATGTCGTTTCGCCGTTTTACTTCTTTTAGGCATCGTTTCGCTAAATATTTCGCTTTGGGCTCATTTAGGTCTCTAAACATAATTATTTTCCCATTGATTCAAACACTTGCCAATCACAACACAACCCATCTAAGCACTATATAACTACACAAATCATCATCCAATTCATTTTTCAACATCAATTCCTCAATTTTTCCTCAAAGGTTCGAATCTTGCCCTATGACATTCCAAGGGATTTCCATTCAATTTTAATCATTCCAACCCTCATACAACCTATTATATCATCATATCATCATTCCACAATTTATCAAACAAGTCTCAACACCAAAATTCCCAAGTCCAAAATCATGATCATCAAATTTTTCTAAGTTAAATTCATCAATTTTCACCAATAAATTTCATCGCATTTCTAGCTTTAATACATCATTCTAACACATTATCATCTAATACACATTTTCAAATTGAGCTCTCTAACACAACATATCATCAATCAAAGCTTTAGGTCACAAAATCAATTCATCACAATCAACCGTTTAAAATGCAAGAACACTCACCCAATTGGAAGGTATAAGACTCCTCCTAAGCATACTCCACCATTGGAGCATTTAAAAGCTCCAAGAACACAAAATTCCTCACCAAAACCGCAGCTGTAAATGGCCAAGATCTCCTCACACACGCGATTTCAAGGCTCAAGAGTGGTACCAATGTGTTTAGGAGGTGTTTTCCAACAAGTTTCAAGACAAAAATCGTTGGATTCGGTGGAGATTTGACCAAGTTATGGAAGAAAGAAAGCTTGAGCAATTCTTGGCCATGGAGGGGCTGCTGCACGCGGGAGAGAAGAGAGGGAGGAGAGAGAAAGTGTGAAAAAAAAAGGTGAGTTTGACTCACTTAAGTCACAGGCGGGTCCCACACGCGTTTTAACTTTAATCAATCACCTAATTTCAACCACAAATTCATGACCTACGTATTTTTCTTGTTCATGTCATATTTTTGTTTCCCCAAAATACTGATAAAATTTTCACGCTTATCGGTACAATTTTACCGCAGTATTTTTACACCGGAAAATCACTATTCATCAATTTTTCCCAAAATGACTCAATTCCATCAAATTTCATCAAAATCATATTTCCTAACTCAAAAAACCATTTATAACTCATATTTGGAACCTAGAGCTCAAAACTCAATCGGCACGTTTTACGGTGCAATCGTACAGCGGTATTTTTACCCGCGAAAAAACACTATTCACTGATTTTTCTGAAACTTGCCTGTCCACTCAATTTTTCGTTCTGAACCCATTTCCAAGGTTATTTTTACCATCTGAGACCTTCAACTCAATTTTTATCTTCCTAGGGTTGCGTGTTGGCTAATTACCGTTTTGCCCTTTCTTTGTATTTTGGCCTAATCTTTAGGATTTTCACTAATCCATCACTTGACTGCTCACTTAATATTTTAATTACTTGATTTAAAATTGTGAGGTGTTATATACTACGTAAAAATTCCTCATACTTTTTTCTGTTCTTATAAGATGAATGAATCACTTTACTCTTTTAAATATACTTCACAAGTTGTACAAGGGCTCAGGGAGAGCATGACCTTCCATGAATTGGAAGGTGTTCTACCTGAACAGGTTGAAGGATGGGTGACGGTAATTTAAACAACATGTATACATGGATGTGTTGTCCCTATGGATTGATAAATTCTTGCATAGATTTGATCTACACAAGTCATATAAATAAAACCAAAACATAAACTAATACATTATCATTTTAAAAGTAGTAGATTGACACATATATCATGTAGTTATTTAATGTAAAATGACGATGTGTCGGTGTGTACTTAGCTTAGGCTATGCAACTTGTAGACTAAGTCTATGCCAGAATTTCTTGGATGGATGAAAATGCCATGCACACAAGCACACTACGCAAGAAAGAGTTCAACAAACCTGACAGTTAGAATTGAATTTTTCTATTCCTTTCATTATCCTCAGGGAATCATCTTTAAATCCATCCTGCAAAGTTTACAGTAATTAAGCAAGTTTGGACACAACATATTTAGAAACCGAACTGCGAATACCTCTGCTTTAAAAAACAAAAGAAAATCACAATACTAATTCAGTAAACCATAACAATTCCCTGAACCTAAAACTAGGTCCTAGGATCTCTAGAATACTTACTAGAGAGTAATTACTAACTAGAAAAAGATATATATTATCAAGAGTTAAAAGTTAAAACAAGCGGTCTACTAGTGCACTCTTCCTCTTTATCCATCATTAAAGGAGGAGAGTCACAACTTACCATTTAATTGTAACTTATTCTATTAAAAAACAAGGGTGTTGCCAACTCCCCAAAAGATTGTAACAATAATAAGCTCAGGGAGAATGATAAGGCTATGTGCTTGCCTAGTCCAAGGACAATGAAACCTCAAATTCTAAATAAACAACATTTCATTATCACGATAGAATTACCTTAGCAAGCATTTGATCAGCCTCATCAAAAACAAGAATCTTCAACCTTGTCACCCCAAGTTTCTTATAATTCATCCACTTATTAATCGTGCCAGGGGTCCCAATAACCACTTGAGCCATAATCGGTGCCCGTTTCGCTATCGGCAAAGCATCCCTACTGTCTGCTGGTATAGCACATTCTGAGCTAATCCCCGTGTACTTTCCCATCTTTCGGAGAACTTCAGTATTCTGCCACACAACACAATAATCATCAAGCTACAACTAACACAGTCACAAATCACAATGTTCGATAACAGTGATTAACAAACGAATAAAAAAAAAGGAAAGTTCACCAATGCCGGTTTGTTTTAGAATCATCTATGGCCCAGTGTTTTTTATCACATATGTCCCATTGATTTGTAAAAAATAAAAAAATCACGAGGAAAAGTTCGATAACAGTGATTAACAAACGAATAAAAAAAAACAAACAGGAAAGTTCACCGAAGCTGTTTTGCTTTAGAATCACCTATGACATATGTTCCATGGTTTGTAAAAGTAAAAAATCACGGGAGCAGATAAAAAAACATATACTTTTGCAAACCACACGAGTGATAAAAAATAATCAAAGGCATAGGTGATTTTGCAGTAAATGGTTTGTTTTAGAATTACCTATGCCTTGAGATTTTTTTTTATCACATATACCCATGTGGTTTGTGAAAAAAAAATTACAGCTGCATGTGTGATAAAAAACATAACTTTTTGCAAATAGACAGTTTAATATTAAAATTACAAAAAAGTTTTCATAGCTATATTTCAATCTTCTTCTGTTTCTTCTAATGTTTTGAGAGATAGATATTAAAACAAGTTTAATATATCCTATACAAATAATGGTGGGTCCAAGTAATGTTGCTTATTTTTTTTTTTTTTTTTTTAAAAATCTCTGAATAAGGAAAATGAAAGGATCAAAATTGATATTGATTTGGTATACGGAGAATTGATAAGGTTCTGTACTAGTTTAAAGCTATTGCTGGTTTCATTTGACTTTTTTGTCTCTCTCCAATTAAACTCAAATTGAAACCACTTATGCAATTGAACCCAATAACATTATTGTAAATCAATTTTGAAGTTCATGAGAATAAATGTAACTGAAGCTACAATGTTCATGCTTCATCACCACTCCAATTATTCTTCACCTTTGGACCTGTGGGTCCTTCCGCTCCCAGCACTTCCTTTGGTAAACTCTTTACAAAATTTTCAAAAGCAGATTTTAGCTTCCCAGGCAACAACTTCTCCACCTTCTTCAACTCATCATCTATACTGTAATCAGTTTTTGGACCCCATTCCCTGAAATAGTTCAACCAAGCTGGCTCTACAACTGCAGATCCTAAATACTCTGCACAAACCAATTCATATGTCCCCATATCCATGACTAAGTCACCCTTCGAATAATTACTCAGATGCACGGATTACTCAAAGGTGTTTAATATTTACTTAACGACGTTTAATGTAAATTTAATAGATATGTTTAATTGTTGGAATGAGATAGTATAGGTGGGTTAATTGCATCAATCTAAAGTTTAGGGTAGTTTTTTGAAACACCACCTAAATTCAAGGTGGTTTTAGGTAATTTAGCCTAAAAAAAACAACGGAAAAAAAAAGAAGAAAAAAGAAAAACTTCTAGGGCTCACGATCAGATATCCCTTTGGAGGGATATAGCTTTTCTTCCGGAAGTATGGGGCCACCAGCTATTGCATTCTTAGTTATGGGTTATTTAATCCATGATAGAATAAGATTATATGTCGATTTAAAAAAGCAATGTCTTAGAACCTTACCTGAATAGCCAACTCCCTGGTTGGGCAAATGCAGAAAGCTTGAGGAGCCTGCAACTTTGGATCAACTCGACTAAGCATACCAAGAAGGAAACACGTGGTTTTTCCGGAACCGTTATGCGCGTGTACGATCAAATCCCTATTCGGAGGATTCAAGATCATAGGCAAGGTTACGGCTTGGATCTTACTAGGTTTCTGGAACTTCATCTCCACGTAGAGTCCCTTCAAAAGCTCCGGTGAGAGATTCAATTCTTCGAAGGTGGTAGCTGACGTGTACGGAGTGTCGCCGGACGAAACCTGCACCGAAATTCAAAACCATAAACCGTCAATTTCTCGCCGAGAAAGAGAGAAAAGAGAAATCGGGAATGGGGATCGAACCAACCGCTTGGATGTTGGAGTCTTCAGGCTCGTCCAAGAACTTGGGAGAAGGCTTCTTGTTCTCGTCGCTCGTTAATCCGACGACGTTGAGCGACGAGGAAGCCGGCGCCGGCGCCGGCGGATGAGCATCGCTGGCGGAGGTGGTTTCGGCGGTGGATGGTTCTGCCATAGCAGTAGACGAGAGAGTGAAGAGTAAAAAAGGAATTCGCAGTTTCAGAGGGAAGGAGAGAGTAATGGATTGAGGTCTGTGAAGAGTAATTAAATAAAATAGACATATACTACTAATATATATAAAGAGAGAGGGTACTAATTTGGAAAGATTTTCTATGGATTGAAATTTTAAAGAATTTTGTAATTGCAAAAAAAATCTACTAATATTTAATTATGATTTTGAAGGATTGAAAAAAATCACTTAATATTTGATTAAGAATTTAAAAGATTATTTTAGAGTGTAGTCAAATCCGGTGGTATTCAACAAGTATTTTAAATAAAGAAAAAAAATCTTGTGATATCAAAATATATGACGATTTTAGTTAATTTTCTATTAATGTAAATTTTATTAGATTTTTTAGTGAGAAATACAGATATGATGTCTTTTTTACAATCTTATACTAACCTCTATGTTTTCTTAAGATTTCTAATTGCAAAGTTTTTTTCTTCTTTTGGCGGGTCTACCCGCTCGAAACCGGGTTTCGCTAGGAGAGCTTCATCAAAGCTAAAAAAGTAAATTTTTAAACGATTTTCATCACAAAACAACATATTGTTGAACAATGGAATCTGTGTATTTCTTCTTTTGTAGAGAGGTAATTATATACACTAATTTTGGGCTTCAATCAAGCCACAAATCACTCTAAAAAATAATATTAAAATCAGAGAATTAATCTCTCCTATCAATCAATTCTATTTACAATTAATTCATATAATTGCTAACACAATCAAAATCAAATTAATTACTCGGAGAATTGATGTCTCCTATCAATCAATTCTATTTACAATTAATTTCTATAATTGCTAACACAATCAAAATCAAATTAATTACGGATTGTATACAGCTCACACGTACTTTTTATAATTTGAAATATTTTTATTCAAATTCTTTTTAACTTATATTTTATTATATTTTTCTCAATTAAAAAATATCTATTCAATAAACAGTAATTCAGAATTCTATGAATTCTAGACTTTTGTTAGGTACAAATGTCTAATATATCATTTGTCTTATAAGTAATGCACTACGTAAATATCTTGGGCAGGGCTAATTTTGAATAATTATTATGGGAAATTTCTTTGTTAAAAAAAACCCAGGAAAGTTGTTTTGTATTTTTAGCAACATATTCTTTTGATATTAACGTTAATTTTACAGAATATTTATAAAAATATCTTAACTAAATACCAAGATAAAAAAATATTGATTATTTATTTACACAAATAATAGGTGTTTTTTTTTTTTTTTTACCTTTTGATATTAACGTTTAACTCTTTTGTTTCTGATTATCTTATAACTTGGAAAAAAACACTCATATCTTGTATCAAAATATATTTTATACCATTTCACATTTATTTTAAAGTTTTTTCATATAAATCATTATCTTAAAAAATATTTTAAAAAACACATCTTTGATATTTCTACTGCGCTCTTATTCAACAAGTTGAGCAACAAAAAAGAAAGAAAACCCTTCCTCTTAGTTACCATCATTCATTCATTCATTCACACCCAACCTCTCTGTTCACAAATAATAAAACCCAAGAAACCTCTATTTCTTTCTTTCTAAAGCAAGAAACTCAACTACACAACCCAAACCCTCACTCTCTCTTTATTCTCTCTCTGATGGAAAACAACAATTCCCCTCGCTCCCTTCTCCTTATCCTCCTGATCTTCCTCACAATGCTCACAATCACCACAGCCACCACCACCGCCATCGATCTCAACTCCACTGCCTCCCCATCGCAGCCGTTCGGAGACACCTCTATTGGGAACTGCATGGAGCTCATGGTGGATTTCTACGCGCTTTTTATGTTTTTCATTTTTAAAGATCTGTTCTTTGGAACTATTAACAGTTCTTCATCGTGGCATGAGTATTGCAATATTTTCTGTTGGGCTTCTGCAAAAGCCCTGTTTTGTATATTCGCCTCTGATGTGTTGGGGTAGATCTAGATCTTTATTAAGTTCCGCTATTATGCATATATACACTCATTTTGTATATACCATTGAATAATAGCCATACCAATAGCCATGAAAATAATTGGTATTTGGAGTTTGGACATCTCTCTTTTTCTTTCTTTCTTTGTAATATTGAACAAATAATGTGTACAGACAAAAAAAAAATTTCTATTTTTTCTCTCTCTAAATTTTCCTCCATATTAATTGTTTCTTTCTGAGATTCTTGCACGGTAATAATCTGTTGGTAATAAATGCTCGGTTCCGCTGGAATTTGAAGTGTGGTAATAATACCTTGTTCCAATATTTTTAGAAGACTTGATTACATAACCGAACCCAGCTTGAATTTTTTGTGTTCAGAGGTGATAGGGTTTGATTTTAGTTCAAACATAAAATTAACAGAAGGACTTAAGATTTTATGATGAAGTAAGACAGCTAATGGACTTAACTCTAAGTATATGCTCTAGCCCAAAAAAATTTTATATGTTAAACAAATGTTTCTATCTCTGGACACCTGATTAAACCGAGTTATGAGCCAAATGTGGATGTGTGATATCCTCCGTTGTTTTGATTTCAGAACTAATGGACTGAATGTCAGAAGTCCCGCATAGCTATGGCATCTATGGCATTATCCTATTGAATATTACTAGTAGTACACCCTAGATAAACTGTGTTTGTGTCTTTATGTAATTGTAATATTATTGAAAACAGAGCTATAGGATCAACTTATGTATTGAACCATTATGAGTAATAATTGAAATGTGTTTCTCTCTGTCTCATCACTAAATCCCTAGTTTTTCAAATATGATTGTGAAATAAGTATAACCTTAAAATGTACTTACTCAGTGAGTTGAGGAAATCTATACCAAGCTCAATAAGATCATAATTTAAAATTTTATTATCAAGCTAGTTTTGGACTAATAGTCTAAGCACTTGGAAGCTAATTAGACGAAAGTTGAAGAAGGCAATGAATGCGAATCTTGTGATGTTTTAATTTTGGTAACTCGAAGTATTTTATTTGAAACTCTTCCTATGTTGTGCTTTGTTGCAAAATTTTACATAGCTCATCTCAAGCATGGATAAAAGAGGAGAGTTGTTGCAAAAACATTATATTCATTGCATAAATCGTATGTGTAAAATTTCTGTTTGTTTTTTAAGATTGACAGTTCTCTGTAATTTGTCTTATGCTCCATTGGATTAATTATTCAAACTGATGGATATAAATGCTTGTGGTGTCTCTATGATTGATGCTTTTCTCTTTGGTGACCAGAATTGGATTGGTTTTAGCATAACCAGTTCCAAAAGAACCCTGATTAAGCTTTTATCGTTGAGCTGCTGTTAGTGCAAGGGAAAAATTGAAAGCTCGACAGATGCAGGTTCAGCTCGAATAAGTGTAGTAATAACTTGTTGCAATATTTTAAACACTTGCTTATATAATCATACCGAGCTTGAATATTTGGGGTTCAAGATCGATACGTTTAATTTGAGTTCAATTAGTTATGTAGAATATTTTACAAGTATAAACAAATAGTTTAAGTTACATAATTTGATTTTAAAACTTATAAGATATATAGTTGTGTTAAAAACTTGGTACAGGAAGTTTTGCGGCCTAGTCCTGCACAACTTGAATCTAACTAATTGAATAATTGATGAACCGATATATATATATAAAAAAGAAAAAGAAAATATATAGTTGCAAATTTGAACTCGAGCTGGCTTCAATACTAACTGTGCTATGGAGGGGAGGGACTTTTTTTTCGGTAGAGTGGAGGGGAGGGACTTAAATTTCATTCCTGAGTGTCCTTTTGCTATTAAAACCAATTACTAATATTGGTCATATAATATTCTCGTGGTATTGTTGGTATATATTTCCCCCTTAAATTTATTAAAAAGTAATGTTATTTGAATTAATTTAAAAGATATAAAATTATAAAATATATTAAAAAATATAGAAGAAGTAAAATGACATTATTTTAGAGTATAGAAAAAATATATAATATTTTAGAAATTTCATTTTCCTCTTGCAACATGAATTTTACTAAAATATATTGCATGATTTTTTCCAATGTCGTTTTGGGGTTGTAGTTAATAACTTCATCTCATATTTGAAGAGAAATGTTAATTCCTTAAACAATACAAAGTTGACTTTTTTCCAGTAAAATGATTTAGTTTTTCAATCAACCTAAAAATATATTGGGTTATATTTATCTTATGTTGCATAAGATAAATAAGTTTCCTACACACATAAAGTAGAGGTGGGTCCCACATCTATTTTTTCTCTCTACTCTTACATGTGAGTCTCACTTGTAATTTTATTTATATAACATGAGATAATCATTTCCTTACAACATAAGAAAACATAACCCAAATATATATTTGATGTCTATTAAATTAACAATATATAAAGATTAAATAAATAAGATATAGTAATTGAATTAGGATTTGAAAATTGGATAAAAAATAGATTTAAACATGATAAAATTGATTTTGTTTTCTAGTCAATCTCTAATAAATTTGATGCTTAGCTTACATTGTATAAAAAATGGTAAATAGAAGTATCATGTTGTACAAAAATTGTACAAACAAAGGATATATCTTGCTAAAGTTAGCAAGTTAATGATATTTTTGAACTTCAAGTTCAATTATGCTTGTATGTGGACCTAAATAATTTATTTGGTTTTTTTTTTCGTTCAAAATAATTTTTCGAGATTCATTAAACTTCTGGTTTTCTCCCCCTAATGACGGAAGATGTCCTTCATTAAATATTTAAGTGGACATAGTTGGCTAATTTAATCTATACCCCACAAGAGAATGGATTCGAACCTCGTTTACAAATGTAAGGACTTTGTTTGTAGGCGATATATAATCTCTCCAAGAAATTCTCAAAGAGGTTGGGGGTCTTCTCGAATCCTAATGAGATACCGATATCTACTCTCACTTAAACTTTTTCATTTAAAAAAAAAAAAAAGTCGTGGATACTATTGTGATTATCTGAATTCAGAGGCGAGTAT